ACGCTAAGCGGTCGAGCAGAAAGATAGATTGTCTTTGATAGACGAACAGACAGACAGAAGAACGCCGTAAATAATGAACGTCCATTCAGAAGACACACAATGGTCGATTGACGACAGATTCAAAATCTCTCACGCACATAGTGTCGCTTTGATGAAGAGATTTCAGTTAAACAATGAAGTCGCTAACAAGGAAGAAATTTAAACCTGTAAAATAAGCAATGAAAAAAAAATGTCACTAAATTTTGAGGCATTTTAGTTTATTTTTTTCTTCTCCATTCATATAATAATCGCGATTTTATCGATATCGTTGGACATGAAATAAACGCGGTCATGTCAGTTAACACATGAATGCGCATGCTTAAAAAAGAAAAAAAACATGGGCGCGACGGATGAGATTAATATTATCTCTGGGCTTTTTTTTAAAGGAATCTCTGTATCTCTCGAAGGTCATTATATGCGATCTTATTTCTTATGCTTGCTAATTTATGGGCAGTCATGGACGCCGACATTTCTCGATGTCTAGTCCAAATCTGAACCTTTGTGATGCTATCAGAGACAGACTAAATCCCAGGCTTTATCGTCTGCTTCCACGGATTATTTCTGCAGCTAATAATTTCCCTCTAAAACACATTTCATCGAGTAACTGGTGATAGCTAGAATTTATATATCTGCTGAATTAAAAAAACTAGCCTTCACCACTCGAACACAAAATCGCCAAAGCTGGAAATTTGAAACTTACATCAAAAGATGCTGAAACGAAGAAATATCCTTAAAGGCGTCTTTAAGACCTTGAAATTGACACTTCAGAAATGGTTATTGTAAACTATGATATCACAGGAAAGGATTTCTTCAGGGTTCGCGATATCACAGGTAGGATTTATTCAGCAAAACACGGCCAAGCCTTCATTCACTGTAATAATAACAGATAAACTCTAGGGAGATAAATAAACTCCTCGTTCGTTAATTTTTTTTAAAAGATTATTGCTGTAAGATGCTCTTATATATATATATATATATATATATATATATATATATATATATATATATAAGTGAACATAGAAGTCAATACTAGTTCTGTTTCATATATGCAATCGTCACGCCTGACGATTGCATCTAGCATGAAACAGACTGTCGCCTCTAAGTGTTGGCTTCTATGTTCACTTTTATATTTACACATGCTCTATCTCTGATATTGAGCACTTTATCCCATAAATATAGCGCATCTTAAGACTATATTTCTTCATATATATATATATATATATATATATATATATATATATGGCTCAAACACTAATATTTCATGGTTATAATTTATTACATTGGAATCGTAATCACAATCTAATTCATCAGACATACATACATATATATATATATATTGTTATACGTTATTTATATAGACACAAATATTTAAGTGAATGCTCTGTTTATAATAAAAGTATTAACAACATTTACTGGCCTGAACGTCCGAGAAATTTTCATAGAAAATATGAGTCCAACAGGAATCGAACCTCTATCCTACACGGAACCGTCATATAGCCTGGCGTTCTATACCAGTTTAGCTACAGAGGAACCGTCTGGTTATATGTTGTTCATAGGTACAAGCATTTATACAAAGCTGTGCGTTAATATCTATTACCGTAAATTTTCATTAGGCTTTTAAATTCAAACGGTTGACAATGTGATCAGCGTTCATTAGAACGTGAAAAAATATAGTTCTGTACTACTTACAGCCCTGAAGATGATCTGGGAAGAAGATCGAAAGTACTTGGGAAATGAAAATAAAAGAAATTTAAACAGCTATAGCACATTTCTCTCATCCTTAATATCAACACACGGAAAGTTATTCGTGAGTATGAACGGATTTTGTTAAAAATTAGCAGGCATAATATCTGTAATTTATCCAATCAGACATACCTAAATGATAATTTTCTGCCTAAATGCACAAATATATATATATATATATATATATATATATATATATATATATATATATATATATATATATATATTGAAACTTGATAAGCATGGAATAATAATAATACAACACAAAATGTACGTAAACAAAATGTATTGAAACAAGGAAAAGGTACACAATATTTACAGTTAGTTTTGGTATATTCTTGGGAAGACTGTTCCTGCAGAATGGGATTGACTTAATCGCAGTCGGGCAGAGTCTCTCTCGATTCGATCTCTTCTTACTAACTATCTTCCCCCGTCTTCCGGTACCAACCCATATTTATATGGTCAGTACTCCACTGATGTAAATTAGGTGTATCGTACCACAACATATATATATATATATATATATATATATATATATATATATATGTTGGCAACTGAGGTATGAGAGTCAAGCAGTTAAGTTTTTAGAACCAACATCCAGACTACCCGTACATAACATTTGATTATAGGGGTGAAGGCTTGTGCAGAACCAACCACACTTTTTGGAAGAGCCGAATAAAAGAACGCGTGCACAGTGTAGCACAAGGTCACCAAACGGCGCTCTGCAGGTTTTGAATTCATTGTCCTTCTGAACCGTTCGCCAGCCAAGGTTATAGGACCTAGTCTGTCCTGCTATTTACCCATAGCTGACCGAAGGAGAGGTGAATTCATATCTTTTCATATATATATATATATATATATATATATATATATATATATATATATATGAAAACCCGCCAATTTTAAAAGGATTTTTAAAAATCCAATATTATTTCGTATTAGTATAAAGCTGACTTATTTTAGTGAATACAACTGTTTGAGTCTACTTTCGTGTTGTTGTATATATATATATATCTTAAATAGAGAAATAGGCCGGTTGATATTAATTACGCTGTATAAGAAAAAAGAAACGCATTTGTTTATACTATTTACATTATTCGGACTATTGTCCTCATCTTTGTCGCCATGTTTATCACAACGTTTCAGCCGTTGTACGCTCCGGCCTTCTTCAGGTGGTTGGAATGTCGAACTGAACCCTTTATTTTACTCACTGGGGTAGACTGTTCTAGTTCCACGTGCCATGTTTAATGGATGTCAGTTATTAGTTATTTTCTGTTAATTCCCCTCACCAAGTCCTCTTCACTGTTTTAACCGAGATTGAACTCACACTCTTCGGGTCTTGTCACTGGATTTAACTAACGCCTTTACCCTAAGGACACATGGCACAGTGGATAAAGGCGTTAATTAGATCCAGTGACAGGACCCAAAGAGTGTGAGTTCAATACCCGGTTAAGGCAGTGGAGAACTTTCAGAGGGGAATTAACAGGAGATAACTGAGATCCATTCGTCAATTTAGATGTCTCAAAAATGAAGTTACTCCAAAATTCGCTTGAGGATGAAATGGAACTAATGTCTTTAATTAAACTACAAAATGAAATTCGAAGCTTTTAGCTTCCATTTTTGAAACACGGTTAGAACTGTGTAGCGAAAAACATTTTAAATCAGTTAATTTATAATATTAATGTTCTGTAAATTTACATTGAGCACTATTTTGTAAAAATAAAAATATCTATAAGAACACCGGATTATATATCTTTACTCTTCTTTCTTCATATATATATATATATATATATATATATATATATATATATATATAGTTAATTTCCAGATCAATTCTGTGGACAAGCCAGATTAGTATAAATACCAATCTGTCTTGTCCACAGAATTGATCTGGGAATTGTCGACATGAAAAAAAATAAAATAATAATCCCTTTACTATATAGATAATTTACATTAACCAGAAAAAAAGGCTTAGACAGAAGCGTCTATCTTTTTAAATTTGGATTTTTAATGTAACTATAATAACAAAAACATTTCGATTTCATTTTTGCCTTGAAAAAGTCGGAAGACGAAACGCGTCGGCAAAATCTAAAATTTTTTCCAATTGTCATTTGATAATATATATATATATATATATATATATATATATATATATATGATTGTAATAATGATGTAGACGTTGGTTTTCAAAGGCGTATGCATATATACGTACAAAGTAACCTTCTCACACGACTCTTTAGGTGAGGGAGAAGGCTACTATTTCTTCATGATTCCTGTATTATTGTTTCTTCTTAAGACACTAAGTCTTATATTCAGTTTAGGAATTGCTGAAAATGACAGAAGGTTTTAATTTAGAGATAAACAGACACAAAAATGGAGTGATCATTTTTTTTTCTGGTATGGTGGGGGTGCGATTTTGGCTAAAACAAAAACCTAATTCTGTATGCGCAAATGTATTTCAGCACATCAGGGCCGGGTGACGGCCATTAAGCCCCACCCCTGTCCACACCTAATAAAATGGCAGTCTGATATTTCTAGCCACTCACGCTTGACTTTAATGAGATTTTCTTCAGTTTTGCATGCGCTGAATATCGTTAATGTTTCATTTAATTACTTCGCCGCAAGCAAGGCAATAAAGCCACTAAGACGCAAGTGGGTGGGGGTGAGAGAATTTGAGAAAAATGAAAAGCGTTGTTAAGGAGAGAGAACAATAAAAGAATCTGGATTCAGACGACACGATAACGACTGACATTGCGTTTAAACTTTTGAATCTTAGAGATGAGTGAAAAGAATCCGGAAGTGTGTTCCACAAGGAAGAAGAAAAAAAAAACTGTTAACATAAAATATACGCTTACATCTCGCCAATGTAAAATGATGAGACCTTGCTGCCAATCTAGTACTGCGCTCAAATTGTTAAAGTCTAGGCACCAAAGAGAAAAGGTCATCATAACAATTACCTTGAAATTAAGAAAACACACAAAGAAGCTACAGTATAAAAGCGACTGACGCTGAGATGCCAGGTCAGGACCAATAACGTTGAAGATTTTTATTTACACTATTTACATTGTTCGGACTATCTCCTATATCTTTGTTGCCATATTTATCACAGCGTTTCAGCCGTTGCACGCTCCGGCCTTCTCCAGGTGATTGGAATGTCGAACTGAACCCTTTATTTCGCTCACTGAGTTAGACTGTTCTAGTTCCACGTGCTATGTGTAATGGATGTCAGTTATCAGTTTCCTCTTGTTAATTCTGTTATCTATCTATCTATCTATCTATCTATCTATCTATCTATCTATCTATCTCATTTTGTTCATATCTATATCATTCTGCTCATATCGAATCTATCTATCTATCTATCTATCTATCTATCTATCTCATTTTGTTCATATCTATATCATTCTGCTCATATCGAATCTATCTATCTATCTATCTATCTATCTATCTATCTCATTTTGTTAATATCTATATCATTCTGCTCATATCGAATATATATATCTATCTATCTCATTTTGTTCATATCTATATCATTCTGCTCATATCTATCTATCTATCTATCTATCTATCTCATTTTGTTCATATCTATATCAATCTGCTCATATCGAATATATCTATCTATCTATCTCATTTTGTTCATATCTATATCATTCTGCTCATATCTATCTATCTATCTATCTATCTCTCTATCTATCTATCTCATTTTGTTCATATCTATATCATTCTGCTCATATCTATCTATCTATCTATCTATCTATCTATCTATCTATCTATCCACACAATTCTTTATATATCTATGTCATTCTACTCATATCTGTCTATTCTTCAGGTGGTTGGAATGTCGAACTGAAACCTTTATTTCGTTCAAAGGGGTAGACTGTTCTAGTTCCACGTGCCATGTCTAATGGATGTCAGTTATCAGTTATCTCCTGTTAATTCCTCTCTCCAAGTTCTCTACTGCCTTAACAAGGTATTGAACTCACACTTTTTGGGTCCTGTCACTGGATCTAACCAACGCCTTTATCCACTGGGCCCGAACAATGTAAATAGTGTACATAATACCTCAACTCAGAAATATAGACAGATTTTTATTTGTATTTTATCAAGAATCTCTAAATAAATAACAGAATCACAAAACTATATATGGCATGAATATTCAATACATGAAGGAAAATTTCAACGTGTTGAATTACTATTCAAATTGTTTAAAGGTTATCGTAAAATGATCACACATGTACCTATGTTTCAACGTGATATGGCCAATTTTCCTTTTTCTTGCATTAAATAACATGTTCGGATTTACAGGTTATTTTAAATGGAGGATGAAGTGCGTAGCTATTGGGTAAAGTGTATTCTTGCGAAATCATCAGGTATCCGATAAAATTACTTATTCTGCATCCTACGTGATGCCTGCTTAGCGATGGTACGCCATTATTCTATATATCCACCATCTTCAAAACAAACACGCGCACACAAGAGAAATGTGAATTTTGTTAAATTTTATCAGAGGCACCTCTAAATATAAACATCCACATTTACAGTAGGTATGTAACTAGTTTCTCCGTTTCTGTGTAAAGATATCAATCTATCTGTTAATTATATATATATATATATATATATATATATATATATATATATATCATTTTGTTCATATCTATATCATTCTGGTGATATCTATCTATTTATCTATGTATCTTTCTATGTACAAATTTCTGTATATATGTATGTCATTCTACTCATATCTATCTATATATCTATCTATCTCATTTTGTTCATATCTATATCATTCTGCTCATATTAAATCTATCTATCTATCTATCTATCTATCTATCTATCTATCTATCTATCTATCCAATTCTGTACATATCTGTCATTCTCCTCATATCTATCTATCTATCTATCTATCTATCTATCTATCTATCTATCTATCTATCTCATTTTGTTCATATCTATATCATTCTGCTCATATCAAATCTATCTATCTATCTATCTATCTATCTATCTATCTATCTATCTTTTAACGCCCAGACGTCTCAGAAGTCTAGAATATCGCCAATGGTGTTTTGTAAAGATTTCCTGTCATGACTCCGTACCGATTCCCTCTCGTTCCCCACGTACTCCTTTCTCATCAACACTCCCTCCCCTTTCATCCACGCGTTGGACGTGCCCATCTGGCTTTTTGGGAAAACTCCACACGTTTTGTTTTTTTTTTGTTTTTTTTTTGCGTCTATTTTCGTTCAAGTGTTTCTCTTTTGAGTCGCGAAGGATTTGGGTCACTTACTTTCATGCTTTTCACGCAGTTTGTCGCGACGATGACGAGAGAAAAAAAACTGTCACATCCGCATATTTATATCTGTACGTTATAATTTCTAAAGACACGTACTTGCTTGATGGAGCCAGGCATTACGTAGCAGAGACGGGAGGAGGAGAAGTTTGCAGGTAAAGATTAGTGGTTAGAGCAAAGATTTCAAAATTAAAATCATGACAAGCATTCTCTCAGAAATTAATATACTGATTGACATTGCTTACTCTTCCAGCCACACTGCCTTCTCTCTCTCTGACCTTATATATACATACATATATATATATATATATATATATATATAGTGTAACCCGGATATAAGAGACCCGGATATAAGAGAAACCCGATATAAGAGAGATTTTCTCTGGTCCCAAATTAGAGCCTGTGTTAATGTATATAAAATAGACCAAACCGGATATAAAAAGAACCCGGATATAAGAGACTTCTTATCCGGTCCCGACAACTCTATTATATCCGGGTTACATTGTATATATATATATATATATATATATATATATATATATATATATATATATGTCCATGCAGCTCTTATCTTAAGTTACAACTTAAAAGAGACTGTTTGACTAGCACAAGGCCTAACCAAAATTCATGTAAAAAAAAAATAAACTACAGACAAAAGTTCATTTTCTCCATCAAGACATTCATTTCTGTAGTTCCCTGCTGCCAGCATGAAGAATTTTTTTCTGATGATGGCTATGTTGGTCGAAACTAGTCGAGGAAGCATAATGAAATTATAAAACGAAAAAATATTAACATACAACCCAGTGTGTCTGAAGATTGAATTTTTTAATATGTTTTATTGTTCAAAACACACACACACACACACACACACACACACACACACATATATATATATATATATATATATATATATATATATATATATATATATATATATATATAAAAATATATAATACATTATTACATTGATTGCACAACTTGGAATTTCATGCTTTCTGTTTGCACCCGACGATGTAGAAAGCATGTTGAGCAATCAATGTAACGTATTATGTATATTTCTTAATATATATTAAATAGCTCTGTTATTTAACATTGAGCACAGTTTTTTCTACACCATAGAGTATTTATATGTATGTGTATACGATCGCTCACTCGTACATCTACCTATATTTATCCATTTACTTCATATGCCCGTGCTTGATTCAAAACTCGTACGACTCATACAGCAATCGCTATCACTTGACTTAAAATATTTTTGCCCTTCCTTGCCTTTAAAGGAGTGCCCTTTTCCATGCTGATGTTGCTACATGCCTTACTTCTTGCCTATCTCACACTACGAATTTTTTCTAAGCTCTATACTAAACATTAAATCTGTTACGAACAAAGAACAAAACAAAATGAACACAAAACGATCAGCTTTAAAAAAAGGACTCGTAACTGGAAAAACCGAATGAAAAAAGAATGTTAACAACAAATACTTTTTCACACCCAACCCAGTTCTGCGGAATCAGAATCAACGTTGAGTTTAAGCAAGCGAATGAGCCAATTGACGTAAAGTGCCATGCAGATTTAAATTTTTCCCACTTGTGACGAATGCAGCTATCGATTTTTTTTTTTGATGCTAGCATGCTAGTTAACATTCGTGTCAATCAGCTGTTGGCTCTCACGCTGGCCAATAGAATCTTCCTGTCTATTCGTGGCGGCCAGCTATTGGCTCTCATTCTGGCCAGTAGAAAATGGCTGCAAATTACATGAAAACTGGCGTAGATGCATGAAAAAAATCGATTATTTCCACTATCGATGGCAGTTGGGAAATGCAAAGTCGATCTTGGCCTTCCCGATAACTTGGAGCATGTGCATGTAAATTTTGGTGCAAATCCGTCGAAAATTTCGGCTGTGCATTCGTTACATCTTACATTTATATATATATATATATATATATATATATATATATATATTATTGAGATGTTTCATTGAATATATATATATATATATATATATATATATATATATATATATATATATATATATATATATATTATTGAGATGTTTCATTGAATAATTTAGACAAGTTTTGTCTACTTATTTTCAACTGGATCCTTTCATATTTACGGACAAGCTTTTTGGTGCCATTATTCAAAGAAGTGAGAAAATTACACATTATATTTGTTTGTGAAATAAACAACATCCTGCTGATGACATTGTGCTGATGTCGAAAGTACTTAGATAAAAATAATACATATTTACATACATAATACATACATATACACGGTAATTTTCTCACTATTCAATATTCTGTTTATGCGATATTTTTATGGGTACAATTTATTTAAGTTTTTAATTAAACCGTATTAATTACATTTAACGAGCTGAATGTTCCAGAAACTTTGTAAAATACATACATTCTCCGACATGAATCGAACATGTATTCCTATACGGAAACCGTTGTATGACCTGACGGGTTATACCATTTAGCTACAGGGAAGCGTCTTGTTAGCAAAGTCCAAATTACTATTTTTAAGCACACAATCTTCGACGATTTTTCTCGAGTGACCATATCAGCGCATGAATCTTATCTTAACGTCAACAATGACAACATATAATGAAATGGATTAAGTTCGACGTCCGACAATTATTCAGCATATTTTTTGCTTATATGTTATTTTATAGATACAATTTATTTAAGTAATTTCTATGTTTTTGAAAAAAAAAAACAGCATTAATGAAATTTCTTCATTCAGGCCGGTAAATGTAATTAATGGTGTTTTATTAAAAACATATATATATATATATATATATATATATATATATATATATATATATATATATATATATATATATACAGGTAATCGATCCGTTGATATATAATCCGGATGGATCCTAGTAAATAGTATTAAAAAATTAAAACTGATCCACAACGTTCGATGTTTTTATTTTAACAAAGCATATGTATTTTTACAGCAAAAAAGCAAAAATTACCTCAGTCTATGTTGAGGTAATTTTTCTTTTTTTTAATATATATATATATATATATATATATATATATATATATATATATCTGGAGAGAGAAAGAGAAAAAGAGAACTGCTAAAGCTAATTAATGAGCGAAGCATGTCAAATTTATGATGATTTCTAACTTATCCTAATTTTACCTATAATAATTAAATTTAACTCACTACTACACACATTAAACATTGAAGACAGACTAGCCAAAAATGTACACGAATGACAAGTGTAACCCAGACGACATGGCGCCATTTACTGTAAACTTTCTTTAAACTTAATAACTCAAAAACGAGAAATTTGTGGACATATATTTATATGTACTTTTGTCCTGATTCCGTATGAGGAACCAGCTCCTAACCTTTGTGAAAGTATTTTTGGTACAATCCATCTATCTATCTATCTATCTATCTATCTATCTATCTATCTATCTATCTATCTATCTTTTATATATATATATATATATATATATATATATATATATACATACATATATATATATATACTGTTGAAGCTTAAATAAGCATGGAATAATACAACACAAAATGTACGTTAACAAAATGTATTGAAACAAAGAATAGGTACACAATATTTACAGTTAGTTTGGTATATTCTTGGGAAGACTGTTCCTGCATAATGGGTTGACTAAATCGCAGTCGGGCAGAGTCTCTGGATTCAATTTCTTAATCTCTACTATCTTCCCCGTCTTCCGGTACCAACCCATATTTATATGGTCGGTAGTCCGCTTATGTAAATTAGGTGTATCATACACAACAATATATATATATCAATCACCTTTTGGAAGTTCCACGTTTGTGAGCCAAGCCTTGTGAACGAAATTGGGTAGACGGAACCCTTAGGAGCCGTCGATAGTCACAAGTCATCGTGACCGAGGGTCTGAGTGTGCTGGCCTTGTTTAGATTGTTAATCATGCTAGATAACACGCACTCTCCCAGAAAGTGTAAAGTCTGCTCAGCACTATTGCAGTGTAAATCACAAGTTGGCTCGGTGGAAGTTGAACACACGCAAATGTGCCTGAGCGAGCGTCTGCAATAGACGGGTATCCTCGAATACGTGTGGCCAACTATTATATATATATATATATATATATATATATATATATATATATATATTGTGTTTGTGTTGTTTTACGCGTGAGTTTACGACCCCATTCACACACATGGGATTAAAATGTGTACATATATAGTCAGAGGACCGGATGAAGTAACGTCTATTCTAACGTAATTTCAACGAAGAAATAAATTGAATAACATATGTATTTCCCCTTTTCTCCTCGGCAATTTTATAATTTTAAACTTAATAGTGATTAAATTTGGATTTTAAAATTGACAGTTTTTAATTTTAATGTCAAATTATATCATATAATTTAATAATTATTGGTTAGTATAAGTTGTTTTTTTTTTAATATTACCCGTATTTTAACGATCTGAATAGCTATTATAACATGACTTCGTTGTCAGGCTTTTTGAATTTTCCTATACTTGTATTTTGATTGGTCATTCTAGCTTTTGTAACAATGTTTTCCCCTAGCGAAGGATCGTTAATTAACTTTTAAAACTATTTGTTTTGCATTCAACATCATCACTTGATAAGACACCGTAGTGTAGTGATTTTATAACATGTTTATGTTATAAATTTTTAAATAAACAATTATATATATATATATATATATATATATATACATAAATATAAAAGTGAACATAGAAGTCAACACTTAGAGGCGACAGTCTGTTTCATGCTATATGCAATCGTGGCCTGAAGATTGCGTCTAGCATGTAACAGACTGTCGCCTCTAAGTGTTGACTTCTATGTTCACTTTTATATTTACACATGCTCTATCTCTGATATTTATTTATCTCTGATATTTATTCCATAAATATAGCACACCTTAAGACTATATTTCTTCATATATATATATATATATATATATATATATATATATATATATATATATATTATTATTAGCATGTGCCACTCAAGTACCTATTCATGATCCCCTAGGTAAGATTTATACATAAATAGACAGTATTGCGATGGGATCTCTTTTAGGCCCCCATTTTTCTAATTATTATATGGCACATTTAGAAAATAAACTATTTAATGACACTAATAAACCCCATATATGTATGATAGATTGAAGGCATTTTCATTTTAGCTAAAAATATTGATCAAATTACACAACTTAAACTTAAAAACACATTTGAAAGTCACTCCGTCCTCAAATTTACACTACAACTTAATATTAATAATAAAATTTCATTCGTTGATGTATTTATTGATTTCAGCACACATAAATTTATTACTTCTCTATATACAAAACCCATTAGCATTAACTCGTATCTTCTTAATTATAATAGTGAATGTTCCAAACGATATAAGTTAGCCGTTAAAAAAAAAAAAAAAATTAAAAAATTAATTCAACGCAAACAAATGATATCTTCTTCCAAGACCATATTCTATAAAGAATTACATAACATTAAACAAACACTTGTTAATAATGGATTTCCTAATTCCGTCATTGATCAAAATTCAAAATCTATCTGAATAAATTTAATAATACCTCTAACTAAATTGATAATATTAATAATAATATTGTACGTCAAACTAAACATAACACTATTAACTTATATTATTGTAAGCAAATACATAATAATTACAAACATGATGAAACAACACACAAAAACATAATAGGTAGAAATATTAAACCCATTAATAATAATAAACAAGTTAAGCTCATCATATATTATAAAAAAATTAAAACAATTGATCTCATAGTCTCTAATAAACCTACAACCATACAACTAAATCCTAAATCCATTTCATTATATATATATATATATATATATATATATATATATATATATATATATATATATATTGAGAGAGAGTGGGCAGAAGAAAGAGAAAAATAGTTTATTGCGTCAGAAAAGATCAGTCATATGAATACATAAAATCGTGTCCAAAAGTCGTCAACTTTGGTAAGAGAAACTTAATGGTTCTTTCTATTAATTAAAATTCCCCCAATCGAAAGCAAAAAAATAAAAATAAAAATAAATAAATAAATAAAATAAAATAAATAAATGAAATAAAAATTAAAATAAGTGGCGATTGAGAAATAAATCTTCAGATTCGGAGAAAACAATCAGAATGATAAAAACAAAAAAAGGGGAAAATGTGACATTTTTTTTTCTTGTTGTCTGTATGCGTGGTTGAAGAAAGCGCGCCTAGATTCGCAAAGAGAAGATGATTAGTGATTTCTCAACAAATTCTTTAAGAAGCACTTTTCCAAGACAATTTTCTTTCTTGTCTGACACTAACCCAAAGAAGGTCAAAAGAATCGCTACTTTTTATGTAAGACATATATTTGTGTTAGAGTACATCAGATTTATTCTGCCTAAGTGTCCGTATCCCGTATAATATATCTATCTATCTATCTATCTATCTATCTATCTATCTATATATATATATATATATATATATATATATATATATTTGTGCGTGGAGAGGTGATGAGGCTAGTGCTACTGAAATAGCACCCTTCTTTGAGGAAGTTCGTCTCTATTCTAAGTGAATGCAGATAGTATTTTTTTTTACCTCTTTTTTGGCAACTAAACATGTCGCTTTTAAAATGATTTTGGCGCCAAAAACAAAAGGCGAAGAAAAAAGAAATAAAAAGAAACGAAGCGATAAGAATAAAAAATAACCAGAAAAAGAAAGTTTAGAAGAATTTAAAAGAAAATAGTTTAGACGAAAAAGTAAGAAAAAGATTTACTTTAAGGTGAATATCAATGAATGAAAGAAAGAACAAGAAGGGATGGAAAAGGAAAATCTTAGTGGAAAAAGAAGAGAGGAAAGTAGTAGTAGTAAAAGAAGAAGAGGAAGGGGAGGAAGAATAATAATAATAGAGAGATGACGAATAAAGAGAGTGAAAAGAGAGAAGAACAACAGAGAGAAGTATAGACAAGAACATAGAAAGAGAGAGAGAGAGAGAGGAAGAAGAAGAAGAACAGAGAGAGGAATAAGAATAGAGGGTGAAGAAGAAGAAGAAGAAGAGGAGGAGGCGGAGGAGGAAGAGGACGAATAGAGAGTGGAAGAAGACGAACAGAGAGAGAAAGCAGAAGGAGGAGGAGGAAAAGAAGAAAGAGATGAATAGAGAGAAGAAAGAAGAATAGAGAGAAGACTATAGAGAGAAAGTAGTAGTAGAAGTAGTAGTAGTAGTAAAAGAAGAAGAAGGAGAAGAAGAGAGAAAGCAGAAGGGGGAGTGGAAGGAGAAAGTGAAGATGAAGAATAGAAAGAAGAAGAAAGAAGAAAAAAGAGAAGACTAGCGAGAAGAAGAAGAAGAAGAAGAAGAAGAAGAAGAAGAAGAAGAAGAAGAAGAAGAAGAAGAAGAAGAAGAAGAAGAAAAAAATAGAGAAAGCAGAAGGAGGAGAGGAAGAAGAAAGTGAAGATGAAGAAGAAGAAGAAGAAGAAAAAAATAGAGAAAGCAGAAGGAGGAGAGGAAGAAGAAAGTGAAGATGAAGAATAGAGAGAAGAAGAAAGAAGAATAGAGAGAAGACTAGCGAGAAGAAGAAGAAGAAGAGGAAGAAGAAGAAGAAGAAGAAGAAGAAGAAGAAGAAATGAAGAAGAAGAAGAAGAAGAAGAAGAATGGTTATTATCATGAAGGGCGACTAGGAATGTTAACACAAACATGCCAAAGGTCATTATCAGGTGTCATGTATTATTATCTGGGTCCCAATGCTTCTTCTTTTCTACCTTTTGTCTGGGGAACTGACTCTTTACACCCCACTCCCCGCTGTCGATATCGCTGACACCAACACTAAATAATTCCTCTTTTTGCCGCCCACCTCACTGTCTTTTTGCCTCAAATGACGCCTCTTGTAAGTCTTTTCTCCGTTATTCACGATTTGGTCTCGTCTGTTCCGATTCGTTTTCCGTCTTTTTTTCCTTATCGCGGGATGTCCATCGGTGCAATGCCGTAAATAACAAAAAAAAAAAAAAAAAAAAAAAGAAAGAAAAGAAAGAAAAAAAAGCCTTTTCAGTTGGAACTTTTGTATTCGGCAACTCATTTCATTCAGACTCGTAATAAATTCATCTTTCGTCACCTCCAGTTGTATTTTTTTTTCATGAAAGTCTTGAAAAACAGACGAATATTGGACGAAGATGATTATTGCCTAATATTAGGGTGTTTAGAAAGTAATTACCGACTATTCCCGAGTATAAAACGACTTTTAAGTCTTAAAAATTACCCCCTAAAATAGGAGATCTCTAATACAACAATTAAAAAAAAAAAGCTAACTTTAAATCCTGTGATGTATCGGCACTGGTAAAGTAGGTTACTAAGCTTTCGCCATGGATCGTGGTAGGCTAATAACTGCCTCAGTATTGTAATTCAGTCAGTTATGTGACATACGTGATACACGCTTAGGCGATCATGTATCTTTCGATACATGACTGACGAGGCAGATATTTTTACCCGCAGTAGGTTGCCATTTTTTTTATATGGTAGACCAGTTGTCTCCCAAGGCTATAGAACCCGGTCTGTTCTGCTGGGGAGAGAAGAAAAGGATATTAGCACGTAAATGAATGTAATAGATTCCACTGGAATTCGAACTCGGCTCTTCGATTCCTCAATCCGAGCCGCTATCCATTATTACACCAATCTAATTATCAATGTAAGTCTTTCTAGTTGAAACAGTTCATATTATAATGCTGTACTACAGTAATAAATGTAATAAAATGTAATACGTTTTACTTCTTGATTTCACGTTAAAATGCAATATTCAAGTGATGATTATTACACGACAACTTGCAAAATGTTCCGCTGCGCAACATGCAGAATTAACAAGTAGCGTAAATAAATCTTTCGTTCATGATTTGTAAAGCTATGGGTTTCATTCACACCAATCATTATTTCTCATAGTAGTGTGAAATAAAGTGAGTCCCCGCCTATTCGCGTTTCAGTTTCGCCGCTTCACACATACGCGGATTTTTCTTTAGAACATATGTACTTGTTATTCGCGGAAACTCCGAATATTCGCGTGTTTTTCTAAAGAACATATGTAAAAATTATTCGCTGAGAACTCCCTCGATTTGCGTATTTTTTTCAATAGAACATATTTAAAATATTCTTGTATTATTTTCCTTTTATTTAAGTGACTTAAAACATATAACAGGCCGTTTTTATGGTAAAAATTGGTAGAATTGTACATCTTCATTGTAAAAAAACAAACGCAAAAACTTGCTTTTGTTCTGTGTTAGGGGGTGCGGCTGGGGTCTTAAAAGTGGATTATGCTAATTCTGGTGTGGGGGTGGCATCATCACAGTTCTGTTTTTAGAAAATATTTTAAACTTTATATTTTATGTCTTGTTACACATATTTTATGCAGTATTTTCAATGGTTGTATCGATCTAATTAAGAACGGTTATTGTACGTATGAAAGAAAATGTCGTTAATACTGTTTATTATAAACAGAGCATTTACTTAAATATTTGTATCTATTAAAAGAACGTATAAACATAAAAAATGTCTTAAAATAATCTTCGGACTTTGTCCATTTCATAATGTGTGACGTCATATATATATATATATATATATATATATATATATATATATATATATATATATGCCAATACTCTTGGGAAAGGTATGAATCCATCTATCCTCCCCACAGCTATGGATTAAATAGCAATACAGACTTGGTTCTTTAGCCTTGGTTGGCAATCAGTCTACTACAGAAAGAAATGGCAACCTACAGTGTGAAAAATCTACTTCGTCAGTCATTAAGACACTGGAGACGACTTATACTACGGATGTTAAAAAAACCCCAAAAACATGAAAGTTTACCTAGATTTCGGGTCCCGTTTTATCTATAGATCGCCTTATATGTGGAAGTATACGGTACGGATTTCCTCTTTATAAATAAAGGGCGTTAATTGGGATAATTGGAAAGTAATAACGTATTTCACTGCGTTTAATTAGGAGTCAACTGGTGAAAGAACCAACAGATGATTGCATTTTTAATACAGTAAATATTTTATATTCAATTTAAGTTGAATTTGTTTTTATATCCTTTCTGATAAAGCGGAATTGATTTCAGAACACCTCAATGATACAGGCGAAGGGTATTTCGACGTAGTGTGATGGTTAACAAGTTTGTCTCGGTATATCAACTACGACTAAATAGTTAATTCTATTCTCACTTGGTGCTCCACACATTCAGCCTTGTACCACATCTAAACTACACTTCGTGAATCAATAGCCACTTCGACGTAATCTGTCTATATTTCTGAGATGAGGTATTATGTACATTATTTACATTAGTCGGGCTATTGTCCTCATCTTTGTCGCCATATTTGTCACAACGTTTCGGCCGTTGTACGCTCCGGCCTTCTTCGAAATTCCAACCACCTGAAGAAGGCCGGAGCGTACAACGGCCGAAAACGTTGTGACAAATATGGCGACAAAGATGAGGACAATAGTCCACTTCGACGTGTTGTAATGGTTAGCAAGTTCATATCGACTGAGTTGTGAGTTCAATCCTTACCGAGTGTTCTATACTTTCGGCCTTATGCCACACCTGAGCTACGGTTGGGAAATCGAAATTATACGAACAAAGGACACTAAGACGTGGTGTAACGGTTAACAAGCTTGTCCCGCTCGATCAATTACGACTCAGTAGTGAGTTCGATCATCACTGCGTGCTCCATAATTTTCGGCCTTGAGCCACTTCTACACTTTTAAAATCGCTATGTGTACTGCTACCCTATCTGGACTTGGGCTACACAATCTTAACTGTCCAACTGAGAGAACACTTTCTGTCTCCCATCAGCATGGCTGAAGCTCACCTACAGGAGAGTGTCATTACTCCTTCTCGGACTAACGTTTTCCACTGACTTGGAAAGATTATATTGAATCAATTTTTAGGTCTGCTGCTAGGAAAGTTGGTTCACTGTGTCGCGCTAGACATTTTTTCTCGTCAGAATCAACCTTGACCATTTATAAGTCTACCATTCGTCTATGCAGTTGAATATTGCTGCCATATGTGGTTTGGGCCCCCGCTATGGAATAGGCACGGTGGAGTAATGGATAGCGACTTGGATTGAGGAATCGGAGAGCCGAGTTCGAATTCCAGTCGAACCCATTACATTCACTTACGTGCTAACACCCTTGAGTAGTCCGCATCTTCTACCTCCTATGAGTAAATAGCCGGACAAACCGAGTTGCCTTGGGTGGCAACCCATCTAGAAGAAGGAAACTCGGAATTCACTTACGTGCTAACACCCTTGGGAAAGATGTGAATCCTCTTTCCATCCAGCTATGGGTAAATAGCAGGACAGACTGGGTTCTATAGCCTTGGATGGCAACTGGTCTAGGAGAAGGAAAACTTCAAACCTGCTGTTAGAGGAGGGTGAATGGAGTCTCTCTGACCCTTGGTTGGCAATCCATTTAGTGATGGTGTCACGATAAAAAACACCCTTGATAGCCCTAGCGAAGCATCAAGAATTCAGCTATTTGACAAGATTATGAACTACACCAATCAAAGTATTGGTGAGTTCAATCTCGGCTGAGGCTGCAAGAAGAGAGATGGAATAGAATCTGCAACGTCCTGACATGGCATCTCGGTTTCAGTCCCTTTCCCGCCGTCGTAACGTAGCTTTCTTGTGTCTTTTCTATAAATAATTTCACGGTAATTGTTCCGATGAACTTTCCTCTATGTTGTTATTTTTATCCTCCTCCCACATAAAAATTGTACATATGGGAACAAGTTAGGACTAAATAGAGACTCTGAGGTACTATGGTGGCTGTAGTTAGAATGGTAAATAAGAATGTGTTGTTTTGGTGTAAGGAATACTGTTGTATATCTGGATCAGTAATCGTGGCTAGCTAAGTTTAAGATAAGACAGATTAAACACCAGCCTTCCCTATCGCCCACTTTTGGCCTTGTGCCACATTTTTGTACTTTTCAAAATAAATATTACTTTCCTCTATGGTACCTAGACGTTATGAATTTAAGTGCAGTACTAGATTGGCGGCAAGGTCTCATTATTTTACTGTTGAAATGGCTTGATGTAACCGTAAGTTCTATGCTAATAGTTTCTTCTCTCGAACTTCTCACTTGTAGAACTCTATTCAGTTTTCTTGTTTTCCAAAGTTCGCTTTTCAAAAGCTTGAATGCAATGTCAATCGTTATCTTCTGTCTTCTTATTTCCTGTTTATTTATTGTTCTCTCTCCTTAATAATGTATTTTTTTTCCGAGGGCGTGCGAATACTGATCTCATTGGCTCCTGGCTACAAATAAAAACTGGATCACACTCACTCCGTCGTTTATAAAAGAAAACGGTTGATGGAATACCCCAGATGTATTACCTACGGGGTTATTGTTCTGGCTAGAGATTACCTTCAAATGCATATAAATTCAAGCAAGCCGATGAGGTGGATTTGAGGTTATTTGGAGTTAAGGTCTGTGAATTAGTGTCATCACCCTTGAAATATTAATAATTATAGTAATATAGATTTTTTTTATAGATGAGAAAAATAATCTGTGGTGAAGTTTGTATCCAGAGAATCTGTGCGTCGTCAGAATTATTAATATAAAATGTCAAAACAATAGTGTTTATATGAACTATAAAATACCCATTGAGAAGAAGAGACTGTTCATTTAGTTATGAAGGGGAGAGGTCAGTACCCAGGTTGTATTCTTACTTTACCAACACCCCGGTTTTTTGTCGTTACTACCGCGTTTATTTAAGCGTGTGTTTGTGCAAAAACAAACAGTCGGGGTCGAAGTCGAAGTTGGAGTTGAATCTGGAATTGGAACTGGGTGAAGTGAGTTGACAAGCAGTCGACCAGAGAGAGAGAGAGAGAGAGAGAGAGAGAGAGAGAGAGAGAGAGAGAGAGAGAGAGAGAGCACAGCATTACGGACTTAGGAAGCGTCTTTCCTTCAGGCAGTGGTTGACCAGTTTTGCCAAAACTGGAGATACTTGTAGGATGATATTCTTCAGAACAGCCATTTGGATTTTGTCCGGACAGGTGATCCGGACTGGAGTCAACGTTTTTGCCAAGTCTGGAAAATTCCTGAGCCAGGATAGAGATACTACATTATGTTCGTCGAGGAGAGGGGAAGTCAGGTAAGGGATGTGCATGGAATGATTTACAATTAAACCTCGCGCAACCATTCACCATCCATTGGAGTGGCAACGAGCAGCGACGTCAGAGGTATGGACGCTCCACTCAGCGATTGCATCATCGAGAAACAACGCGCCGTGGACAGAGGGGATTAAAACTGCGGAAAGCCATCGCCGAGTGTTGGCGCAGTACAGAACGTACACCACGAGTCGACAGAAAGTGTATGAGTGCGTGGGTCGCTTTAAAGCGAGAATAGCAGTTGGGAAAAATCTCACGGACAGATCACATCCGGAGGGTGGATGCCTTCATCAAGGGAGACCGACGAACCACGTCAGCACAAGTGGCCTCAATCGTTGACATTTGCTATGGATTCGCACAAGCAGTAGTGCATGTTGATTTGGGGTACCGTAATGTTTGTGCGCATTGGGTACCCAGACAAGCAGGCGGTGGAGACGTGACTTCGTCAGCAAGCGAAAAGCTTCTTTTTTTTTTTTTTAAAAAAAAGGGACTCGTTGATCGGTACGAGTAGAGCATCGTTGTGTTGGAGGATAACTGACATCTGCATTTGTTCTTCATCAGTGGAAATAAAGGTGTTGCATGGTAATTGCCTTTACATTTTTTTTGTTTACCCTCGTATTCTGTTACGTTGATAAGTGCATGTGGAATCAGGTATGTATTTTTCTCTTCTTGGCTATGTGTAAATCTCCTAAGCTTCAGACAGTTACTGAACTGACATAATCTATCTGGAATTAGGAAGTGAAAGATGTAATATATTCAACAGCGTAGCTTAACTTCGGAAGGTACACGTCATTGTAAAGCGTAGTCTAATTGAATGCAAAGCACGTAATCCAGTCCTGTGATTTATGTATATGTACGTGTTATTACAAGGTTTTCATTGGGAATATATACATGAAAAAGAATTAGTTAGTAAAAGTGGTCATCTAGGCGAGAATAACAAGAAACTGTAATAAAGTGTGGGTGGTTCCAATACGGTAACAAGTAACTGGAATCTTCATTACTTAACATTTTATTTACATCAGTAGGCAGGAGCTGCCCAGCTCTTCACTTTTAAGTCTTGATAAAGTTCTTAAGCGTCTCCGGGTCCTTGTTGCAGAAGAATTATTTTCCACCATCCATGCTCTCTCTGTCTCTCACAGGCTGGATATGGCGAGATTCTCATTACTCAATCGCCACTTCCATGGAAAACGCTCAAACAACATTCCTTGATTCCGCTAGGTCTAACCTTCATGGCTTGCCACTTACATAGCATCAAACCACCCACATTGCCTCTGTATTCCATCAGCGAGAAGTTCCACTCAAACAGCTTCTTCCCGCAAACAACTGCCCTATGAAACAGACTACGTCCCTTCTTATCCATATAAACTGTCCTGAACGTAACCTTCAACTTTGAGTGCCCCCACCTCGGGAATTGTACAGGGTGAACCTTACTGTCAAAAAAAATATAATAACACAAATAAAAGTATTTCGTCAGTTACTCTCGGTCAGTTATCATACGGCCCGCAATTGAATGTTGTCCTTACATTCTCCGACTGTGATGTTTGAGAGACTGTCTAAAATTACTCTGGGGCAGTACTTTATATATTTATGTGACCACTAGTGTAGTCTCTAAGTTTGAAGGGCTTACAACCACTTTCACGTTGAAACACCGATTTGCATACGATCACTGGAGTTAAGCAACGTCAAGCCTGGCCAGTACCTAGATAGATGACCGCTTGGGAATAAAGATAATTTTTCTCTGCTTGTAGAAGCAAGAGTGAAGCAGGAGCGAAAGTTTTCATTTTACCACCATCGTATTTGTTAAAAATCACCGCTCCAAAACCGTAATCACTAGCATCTGACGCTATTATAATTTTTGATTTTGGATCGTAGTGCGCTAACGATAAATCAGACATAAGACTTTTTTTTTATCTCGTCAAACGCTTTTTGACATTTATGATGCCAATTCCACTCCCTTTTTTTTCAGTAGATTATTGATTGGAACTGTCGAATTATGTATATTATGTACACAAATTCAATAATAATTAACCAGTCTTAAAAATGCTTGTAACGTATTTACGTTTGTTTGTGTAGGCGTATTTCTAATTGCATTTGTCTTCGACTGGTCTGGTTGCTTACCATTTTTATCAATAAATCGACTCAAGTATTTTATTTATGGTAAAAACAATACATATTTTTCTTCACTAAGCTTGAATCTGTATTCTCTTAGTTTTAACATAATTGTTTTGACATGTACAACATGTTCTCCTTTCGACACACTCTTGATCAAAATATCGTCCAGATACGCCACTGCGAAATCCCAATTTGCCAGCATGGTATCCATGGCTTCTTGAAAAATAGTTGGTGCCTCCTTTATACCAAAAGGAACTCGATCAAGCTTATATAAACCTCTGAGCGTATTTATAGTCGTTAATTCAGAACATTGATTTTCAATCTGAATTTGTAAATATCTGAGAGATCCAGTTTTGAAAATATTTTTTGGGACTTCGTAAAAGGTAATTGTGTGTTTCGGGACAACTATTTAATTCAGTAGAAACACGAATATTGTCATTTTTATTTCTTTACGTACATCACTGCTGCCACCCATTTCGAATCGTTTACTTTCTGCAATACACCAGTTCTTTCTAGTCTGTCCAGGTCTTCATTTCTTTGTGAATGGTATGCCCCGTTACGGTATAAATAAGGCGTTGAATCATTTTTACTTGTAAATTCGCCTTGAATTTTGAACTCCGACCCAGTTCATCAGACAGAATATCAGGAAAACATTTTTAAAAATCTTCCTTTAGTTTTTCTCTCTCATGTTTTAAACTGTTCGCTTGTCCACTTACATTTTTACAAAAAAGCGTTTATCGGCAAATCTGGTAGTTCAGATAGTTCCATCCAGTTCGTACCGAATAGATTCGTCGCATTTCTTAGAACATAAGCTTTTGTTTTCACCTGCTTATTTCGAAAATAAACATCAAAGCTTAATTTGTAAGGCCATTTTAATAAAGATTTTCCAATTTCTTTCCATGTGTTTTTATTTACTATTGAAATGTCAATACTCGTAACATTTTTACTCCCACATTAGTGATTTGTTCGTTAACAAATTTTCTTTTGTTTCGTGTGTTTTATTTTATTTTATTTTTTTTTGTCGCAATATTGTGTATTAATTTCTTCCTGTGAAAATTTGTTCTTGGTTTAGTTCTGCAGTGTGACTTGATATAACCTTTTTTAGCACAGTTGTAGCACTCTGATTTTTCCATAGGCAATCTCGTCCTGGGTAAGACGTTAAACTACATCCGCGTCCTGGGTAAGACAATAAACTACGTCCAGCAGCAAGGCCTCTGATCAGGAGGTTTTGAGGAGCGTGGAACCACTTCTTAATTGCCGGTGTTTCCGGGTCCACTTTAACCGGGGGTGGTAGCGCCTGTTAGGATCCCAGCAAGGGGCAAATAGTTAACTATTACCAGAAATACTTTTTTGAAAAGAATTATTACCAGCAATATAATTTTAAAGGAAAAATATTACCAAAAACAGATTTTTGACAAAAAAAAAAAAAAAAAAAATTGTCGGCATAAAATAACCCATTTAGGTGTTGATATGCTATAAAACAAAATAAACCAAACCAATCTAAACCTGTTATAAACATATTCTATTCATACGAATCTATCCTAAAAATGTTGTCGGCAAAAAAAAAAAACAAAATAAACCAAACCAATCTAAACCTATTATAAACATATTCTATTCATACGAATCTATCCTAAAAATGTTGTCGGCATTAAATAACCCATTTAGGTGTTGATATGCCATAAAACAAAATAAACCAAACCAATCTAAACCTATTATAAACATATTCTATTCATACGAATCTATCCTAAAAATGTTGTCGGCATTAAATAACCCATTTAGGTGTTGATATGCCATAAAAAAATAAACCAAACCCTAATAAACATATTCTAAACGAATCTATCATAAAAATGTTGTCGGCATTAAATAACTCATTTAGGTGTTGATATGCCCGTAAAACAAAATAAACCAAACCAATCTAAACTTATTAAAACATATTCTATTCATATGAATCTATCCTAAAATGTTGTCGGCATTAAATAACCCATTGAGGTGTTGTTATGCCGTAAAACAAAATAAACCAAATCAATCTAAACCTATTATAAACATATTCTATTCATACGAATCTATCATAAAAATGTTGTCGGCATTAATAACCCATTGAAGTATTGATATGCCGTAAAACAAAATAAACCAAACCAATCTAAACCTATTATAAACATATTCTATTCATACGAATCTATCCTAAAAATGTTGTCGGCATTAAATAACCCATTGAGGTGTTGTTATGCCGTAAAACAAAATAAACCAAATCAATCTAAACCTATTATAAACATATTCTATTCATACGAATCTATCATAAAAATGTTGTCGGCATTAAATAACCCATTGAGGTATTGATATGCCGTAAAACAAAATAAACCAAACCAATCTAAACCTATTATAAACATATTCTAACTATCTATTTGTCTTAAATAACATGCCGTAAAACAAAATAAACCAAATCAATCTAAACCTATTATAAACATATTCTATTCATACGAATCTATCATCTATCCATTAAAAACCCATTGTGGTCGGATATGCCGTAAAATTAATCTAAACCTATTATAAACATATTCTATTCATACGGTTGTCGGCATTGATATGCCGTAAAACAAAATAAACCAAACCAATCTAAACTTATTATAAACATATTCTATTCATACGAATCTATCCTAAAAAATGTT